GACATTTTGGAATGCATGAAATGCGTGTAATACACTGGATATACTGGTTTCCGCTTTCACATACATGAGCAACAACAGAATTTAGTATATGTTATTTTTACTGTCATGATTCAACACAAGCAGCCTGTCGGCTGAGATAATTCCGCTGTTAGCAATGCACATTTCAAATAAAGATATCATTAGAAAATGAACAAAAATCTGAGAGAGGTCCACTTGTATTACCTAAGAAATCAGACTTATGGTTTTTAACAAGAAGTCCAAAATATTACTTTCTACCATTTAGAGAATTGAAGATATCATCACAAAATGAACAAATTTGAGAGCGGTCCACCTGAGGTACCTATATGTATAATATCAAGACAATCAGACTAGTATTTTTCAAGAAGTCGAAACAGTAAAAAGTTGATGTGAACGACAACTAAATACTCATATGACAAGCTCTGTTTGACAAATAATCACAATATTGTACATATGATGTAGTATACTTAGTTACTGTAGTGAATCCATATTTCCATCGGTTATTTATCAAATAGTAATAATAATTTTGTTCAACAATTCAACAAGTTTTGTCATAATATAAAGTTCAGTTTCTACTATATTTTCCAAGCATGTTGGTTTTACTATACATACTATACTATACTGTACATGTTTGAGCTTCCACGAAAACAACAAAGGTTGGTGTACTGTGGAATACTTTATTTTCGCTGGAATTAATTTTCGCTGAAAAGGCTTTTTGGGCGTTTCGCTTGGAATTTATTTTCACTGATTTTTCAAGAGTTTAATGTGAAATATCGGGAAAAAAGTATATTCGCTGGATTTTATTTTCACGGAATCATCCCTTCAGCAAAAATAGTGAAAATAAATTCCAAGCGAAAATAAAGTATTCTACAGTATTGTGACAAATAAATATGCAAACAAGATTTTTTTATTATGTTAATTAGTCATGCATTGAGTTATGTCATAACACCATGTATAGCCTAATATGTCAAAGAAATTAAACTTTTTGACATGGATACTCAAATAACAAGCATTGAGAAAGTATCTTCAATGACATAAATAACAAGCATTGAGAATGCACAGTCCCTCGCAAAACAACAAATTTGCAGTGCACATTTTATCTCTTTAACATACATGTTTTGTCAAACTTGAACTGCAATTTATACAGCGCCCCCACACCACAGTTGTATAAAACATCTATGCCAGTCAGCCATTTGTTTGAATACAAATTGATGTGCACCTGTAACCCAATATGCATGATTACTATTATACGAACATTGAATGAAATCGACCAGTTCATCTCTGGAGAACATTTCCGGACATGTTATCGAAATTTAGCAAATTTTAAATGCAAAATGGCCACCAGTCGGCCATATTTGATCGAATTGTCATAAAATTGATGTACATTTGTTAGTCATCATTCATTATCTTTATGTTAAGTTTGAATGAGCATGTATGAAAAATGGCTCTGGATGGACGAACAAACCCCAAATTAATAGTCCCTGATTTCTGACTTGGGACTAAAAATAGGTGACAATTATTTCTTTAAGTATCCTTTAGACATTTTTCACAAATCCACTCATCCTCATCTATATCGTCACCACTTAAACCCACACAATCAAAGTGTGACCAAGCATGACATATGTCACAGCAGACTGCATCTGTAAGACAATTTTCACCACAGATACCACATGGCCATTTTATTGACCTTTGTCGTTTTTTGGCTGGTTTTTTCAAGTTACTTTTCTTTTTTCTGTTCAAGGAAATGCCGCTTGAGCCAGGTTGTGGTTCAGTAGTGAGACTTTCATTCTCATCTTGTTCCAATGACTGTGAAGTATGTCTGCTAAAAACTTCAGGTTGTGGCATTTGTGCACTGTCTTTCACTTTCAATGTCAAAGCACTTAACATTTTCCCTTTGGTTTTCTGATCTGCCTCTGG